TATTTTTATCGAACTTCTCGGTTTAACGAATACTACGACTTTCATTTAGATCACTAAGGCTAAAAAGTAGTTTATCAAAAACTCACTTTTTACGTCATTCGGCACCGTGCCGGTTTTATCGCGGATCTTCGATTGGTCATAACTTCTTCGTTATAACTCGGATTTCGACGAGGTTTTCGCCTACATGTTTCTAACGAGATTATCTACAACTTTCAATAATAAAATTTTAGTTATTTCAAATTTTATATTTTCGCCAAATTTCACTATTTAGCTTTTAATTGGAATCTCATAAGACTTCCAATAATTTATGAGTGATTCTAAACATAGTTTTACCTTATTTCTAGTAAAAACTATCCGTTAGAACTCAACACTCAATTTCACATAATATTTCATAACATTATTTATATAAAACACGATCTCAAAACGTGTATGTTACAAATGGCATGTTTAAATCTCGATTATGCTCTTCAAGTTTGTGACTGGGATACCGAGGATCACAAACAAGGTGTGAATAACCATGCATATTAGCTTGGTACTCTTGATGTTACAAATCACCTAATCAATGTGTCGATTAACCACACACGCTCCATTGATCCATGATTAACACCAAGCTACCCTTTGCCACACATTGTCAGTCCCAAATTAGTGTGTCGGTTAACCACACACGCTCCACTAACGACTTAACAAGGTGCAAAGTGCAATTTCATGGAAAAACACAATTTTCACATTTTTCCTAAAGTAACTAAGATTGAGAATTTTTATGAAAGTTTAGTTACTTTATAATTTCATTATACTTATTAATGACAATTAATGTCCTATCCTACCTGTTCGGCTAACGACCCTCCACCAGTCAAGGAAGCGGTGGGTGAGAGTAGACACCTATTAAACCACCATTTTATAGACAATAACCTTATACCCCCTTATACTCCGGCTTCGTGAATGATGCCTACTAAAGGTAAGACTGACGTGTCTTATACATATATATATATATATATATATATATATATATATATATATATAAGTATTAAACTTTAATATTATAATAGTATAGGGTTGAATTTTAAACTTTTAAAATTCTAGGGTTTGGAATTAAAGTTTCATTAATGTAACTTTTCAAGTTCCAAAACTTGAGGGCAAATTTTATAACTTGTCAAAATTTTTGAAATTCATAACTTATGAACTTTTATGTTCCATGAATGAGACCTTTCCAATTCCAAACTTGTGTACAAGTTATGAAACCTTCCAAGAATCTTAGAATTCTATAACTTACATTAGTTAATGGTTTCATAAATAAGGACTTTTCATATTCCATAACTTGAGGACAAGTTATGGAACTTTTTCAAGAACACATATAAATCAAATCAACTAATCCAATTATGATATGAAGATCATTTACCAATTTGACCTAATTTGATTCATAGCACATGATAACTTCAAATTTTACAAATAACTAGTTTCTCACAAAATCAAGTAATCATCTTAAAATTTGACAAGCATCATGTTATTGGATGGGATAAACATTACCATATCATTAAACTCGAATTTTAAGAAACAAAACAAATTGTAGTAATGATCCTAACCCAATACAGGCTAAAAACTTGAGAAAAAACGTTCACTGAACAGTCGCCACGTCGTGGTAACCTTGACCATGTCGTGGTCACCAGTCAGATTCCAAAAAAAACAATTTTTCTTGCTTTGAAAACCTACCAATGCATCAATATAATAGAAAACAATCATAGGCTCTGATACCACTGTTGGGTTTTATGTACTCTAACATTCCTATGGTGCACATACAACCCTAATGCTTTGGATCTAAGTTTTCTCTAATTATACATGCAACATTTGTTTCCAAAGCATGAAGCCTAAACTAGCATACAAAAATTTAACATATGAATCATAAAATAAGTTAGAAAGTTACCTCTTGATGTAGTTAGTAAGACTTTGGCCTTGAGATAACTTAGCACCCCAAGTGTTGTGCCTCAAACAAGTCACAAACACTAATAAACAAGTATATGGATATAAGAGAGGCTAAGGAGACTAAAAACCGATTTCTCTTCTTGGAATGCAAGTAGTAGTCGATTTTAGGTCTTAGCACAACATATATATATATATATATATATATATATATATATATATATATATATATATATGTAGAATATCAAAGGTCATGTGTAACCCTAATCCATACACATTAGCCCATGATCCATCCATTTGATTTGGATAAATACTTCATGGTTTAACCTATAAACCCATCACAAATCAAACCATGGATCATTAGCCCAGCTCATATGTATCAATTTAATTAGTCTCTTTTGATCACTAAATTAATTCTAAATTAATTATTGATCAATACTAATTAAATAATATGATTCCTCAATTAACATATTATACTTATAATATATTAATAAATCATAAATAACCTCTTACTCAATATCCATCTATCAAATTGTTCTGGTGAGGGCAACCCGAAATGGACCATGCTAGTATCGGGTCAAGTACATACCAATTATAATTATGGGCTTAGACACCTAATCCAATATATCCTAGTAGATAGGATGTTGTTATGCTGTTATGATCTGTTAGATCTGTATCCTGATAGATAGGATGATGCCATGTAGACTAGTTATGTGTTTAATTGTTATATATATGTCGACATGTGGGTTTGTGGTTGGGTTGAGGCGGTCCTGCTTTGTGCTGTAGGCCAACAGACCCAGTGCGGTCCAGATAGACTGAAGGCCTGCGAGGCGGTCCAGTCAAGCCGAAGGCCCGTCGAGCGGTCCAGATAGGTTGTAGGCCTTGTGAAGCAGTCCAGTCATGCCGAAGGCTCGGGAGCGGTCCAGATAGGCTGAAGGCTTATTATGCATGTTGTTATTGGTTATGTTTATGTGGTGGTATTTTGGGGAAGACTCACTAAGCTTTGAGCTTACAGTTTTTTGGTTATGTTTTAGGTACTTCAGATGATCGTGGGAAGGCGAAGGCTTGATCGTGCACCTCCTCATGTTTTGTGTTATGATTTCTGGGAAAAACTCTGATGTGAAACTCATTTTGAAAATAAATTGTAATGAATGATGGTTTTGTGTTTATTTAAAAAGTTTAAAATTTTCAAAAATTTTACGAGTGTTACAGAAACTGTGAGCACAAAGCTTAGTGAGTTCCCTAAAATACCACATACTAAACACACATAACAACTCGAAACTAAACTGGGTATATTTCACCCCCTTCGGTATCTTTCAACCAATACTGGGTCTATTTCACCCCTTTGGTATCTTTCAACTGATACTAGGTCTATTTCATCCCCTTCGATATCTTTCAACCGGTACTGAGTCTATTTCAAGGAGTGGCTTAAAGGATTAAGAGCTTAATGCTCAAAGTTGTCCAAGACGGATCTCACGACGTGAGAATTAGCCTGTCATGTCGTGAGAATGGCTGCTCGTGACTATGTTGTCCTTTTTCGGTCACGACGTGACCTATGGGTGGTTACGGCGTGACCAGTGGTTGAAGTTGACTATGGTTGACTTTTGACAAGGGTTAACTTTTTGACCAAGGTTGACTTTTGGGTCAAATTAGAGTTTTAAGGGTGTACGCTGATAGGGTATGACTTTACTGCTACTGTTAGGTGTCTCGTTGCTCCTGTCTACCCTGTGTGTGAGAGGTGTCAAATTTTTAGCTACTATTCGCGATGTGAGTCTTCTCACTACTTTACCTGTGTAGTATTTATGTCTGTGACCAGCTGGGTCTTAAATGTTGTTTGCTGTTTTGTTTGACTTGCATTGCTGATATACTGGGAGTGCTGATAATCCCCAGGGTTGCTGATAACCCCTGAACATGCTGATAATCCATAGGGTGTGTTGTTAGCCTATTGGGATTGCTGAAAATCTCCAGTGTTGCTGATAACCCATAGATGTTTATTTATGTTGTGTAGTCTGAATATGTTGGGAATGACTCACTAAGCTTTATGCTTACAGTTGTGGATTAATTGTGTTTCAGGTATCTCAGATGATCGCGGGAGGGCGAATGCATGACTGTACACCCCGACTTGCAGATCTTTTATGACTTCCACATTTTTATACTATGATTTGGGATGATTGTATTGATACACCTGAGATTTCTTGTTTGGGTTGTTATGATACTTGGAGGTTTTGCTAAAATAAAAATGAAAAATTTGTTGAAAATTTTGGGTTGTTACAGGACATGTGACATTTTCCACTAACTCAAAAAGTATTAAAAAAACTGGCCGGTGGGTTGGGTTTGTGGTTAGTAGGTTATGCTATATTTTTTAGGATTATACTCTTTGGAATGTTTGATTGAAAACTTTAGACTGCTTAAACCACGACCGTCTTTTTATTGCTCCATGTGTCGGTCATGTGATTCAAAGTTGTTCCCATGATCTCACCTGCCTTCTCTGCTTTCTCTTGGGCACGTACCCGTTGAAATCTACCGATTGTCCTCCATACAAGTTTGGGACAATTGTAATTAGTTGTAATTCCACTATTACATCCCTATATCTCCATTCAAGAGACTCACAGTCTGTAATTCGATTATTCTTTCATGTTGTCTCTTTTCCGCTTCAAGCATGCATATATACAAAAGATGTAGAACTCATATAACAGTGATGTTGGTGTGGTAATTTTGAATGTGAAGTCCAATATCATTCAAATCTCTACAAACCCTTCGACAATATGCTAGGCAAGGTGGTGGCAAATTCGGCATACAACACCCCCTAAAGGTGGCATGACGAGTAAAATGTGGTCAAACGACACTGTCGCCGAGGTGAGAGAAATGAGAGAGGAGAGAGAGCGTCAGGGTTAAAGGTTATTTATTTTTTTAAAAAAAAATCAATTTTGACCGACCCTTTCAAAATTACATACCATACATCTATGAGATAAATATCATGACGGTGAGTGGATGAAAAAAAAAAACTAATCTAACAACTTCGCTAACATTAATCCTCTCACTATTTAACATTTTTTGTTTGTCCTACACAATATACAAAATTGTACCATTTGTTGGACCAATGTGGAAAATGACGACTTTTCCACATCATCGTCTCTCGCAAAACTGTTTGGTTTCTTCCTCCTGACGAAAAGAAAACTTCTCCTGATATTACATACAAAACCTATACATATATAAACCCTTCCCGATTTCATTCCTCTTTGCCATTTTCATCCATCAAATTGTAACAAATTCAAGCATTTGCTTTTATTTTTCGACTTTTCTTGTTTCTAGGGTCACGGGATTAGAATTATCGATAGCAAAACTGCAAAATAGCCGAATCAATCAATCAATATATAGGGCTTCTTCCTTTGTAGTATTGTTGAAGAGTCTCCATATATAGATTTTTCGTTTTCTTTCGAATTAGGGCCTGGAAGAATAGAAAATTTGACTGCTGAATACAGTTTAGTTGACTCAATCGATCAAAGGGTTTCCTGTTGCTGTGGAGTTTTTGCAATTTGAGCTTTTTCTTTTCTATTCCGAATTAGGGGTAGGATTAATCATCTAGAGTAATGTTCTTCAGTGGCGATCCTTCCAATCGGAAACGAGTTGATTTAGGCGGTCGTAGCTCAAAGGAAAGAGATAGAAAGAAGCTTTTAGAGCAGGCGAAGTTAGAGAGGAATAAAAGATCACAGCTGCGCCAGCAAAACTCAGCTGCTCTCACAATTCAGGTTCATAACAATCATACTTCACACAGACACACACCCACACTTACATTTATAACTTACATATAAGCATCAGATATGAAGATGTATACAGTATATAGATGTGTTCTTATGTAAAACGAGGTTGATAGACTGCTTATATACAGACAGCGAGTACATGAGCATCTTATCTGATGGGTGCACTTCATTAGAAATTTAGAGCAACATGCATTGCTTTATCTTAGAAAGAAAAAGGAGACATGGACTTTTGACACTGACATAGGCTTAAGACATGGTTATCAGGGAACAAGCTGTTAGCGATTGCTGCAATTTATAGTTTCTGCAGGATATCAAACAGAGACTTGCTGTTCAGCATACTTTGTCCTGAACTTGATCAATATCTTCTGAATTTCACTAATACCTTTGAATCTGACTAATCCCTTCCTGCAGAAATGCTTTAGAGGAAGAAAAGTTGTGAAATTGGAGCGTGGTAGTGCACGAGAGCAATTTTATACCACTTATGGAAAACACTGTGAAAGAGTAGACAGGTGCTTTTCATACTGCTTCTCTTTATTTGGATCTACATTGTTGAAATTTGTAGCCATCTAATTCTTTTCTTTCTTGTTGATGTCAATATTCAGGCAATGCTTTGGACCAGATTCAGAATTTCTTCGGGAATTGCTATATTTTCTTAGTCCACGAAATGCTTCAGACATTTCTACCCTTGTGGAGGCATGCCGTTTGTTTTCACAGTTTGCTAAAGACAGTGGTGTGTAATATGTTTACTTCATTGTTAATTTGTTATAAATCCACTGATACCATTTTTCAAAAACCATTAACACCATCAAAACATACATCAATATCCACCAATGATCGTATATACTGTTTGATCTTCAAAAACTATCTTTCAGTACTATATCTCATATACACACATTCCTCCACTTTTTAGCTATTGGTTTGGGAAATTACATTTTTAGGCATTCATAGTTCTTTATTGTGTGACAGGGGATATTTTGAACCTCTTTGGTGGCTCCCACTATTCTTCTGATCATGCTTTGGTGAACTACAGGGTGAAGAAACTTGCTTATGTCTGTATTCAGGCTATACATCATAATAGGTTTGCCTCATGCATTATTTCTTGTCTTTTACAAGGTGGGACATCTACTCGCTCTCAGTCTCTCGTCTGTGCAAAAGACGTGAATGCCCTTCTCATGGTCAACACCGAAAATAGCTCTAGAAGGTTGTTTTTTTTTATTTGAATCTTTGCCAAAGACCAGTTGTTTGTTGTTTTGAAACAGACATCAGTTAAAGGATCAATTGTTATCAACATCTTTGGACTCAAATACACCAACAAGTATCTTGTTGAAAGCAGCTGCATTGTTGATTGATCCCAAGCTTCCTTGGTCTTGTAAGATAGCCAGTTATCTTTTGCAACAAAACATATATAAGATTTTCCGGGAGATTGTTATTACAGGAAGGGTATGTAATATGTTAATATGTTTTAGTTTTTTAAAATCTGCATCCTGTTTTAGTCTTACCTTGTCTTTTACTTGTTACCTATTTAAATTTTTGTAGGAAAGTTTAAACTCTGAAAGCCAAATTGGAAGTGTATCTTTAATGGAGCGTGTTCTTGCCCTAGTTGTTACTCATACTGGTCAAGGGCATTGTGTTTGTCCAGATATTGACCTTCAATGGAGTTTTGCCTCCCAAATTCTAACAATTCCTTTTCTATGGCAGATATTTCCTCACCTAAAGGAGGTAATTCGGTTGTAAAAACTTTTCATCAATTCATCTGTTTATTTTATTTGGCTTCCACATATTGAAATATGTTTTTAATTATCATTGTTTCTATGTCTAGACTTATGTTTCACAGGGGCTATGTCAGTATTATCTTCATAAAATGGCAACATGTAGTCAAAATTATGAAAAAATATTACCTGTTGACATATCAGCTGAGTTCCCTGGTTATGCATGTCTTCTTGGAAATTTACTGGAATCAGTTGGAGTTGCTTTGAGTCGCCCTTCATGTTCTTACAATATGGTATCAACATTTATGTTGCTTAATTTAATTACATGTTCTTAATAGTTTTTGTTTATGACTTTATGTATAAGTTATAATTATAATCCTTTCCACCTTTTCTCTTTTTTTCTGATCAGACTATAGACTTTGCTACTGTTGCAACATTGTTGCTGGAGGTACTTCCTCCTATTCAAACATCAAGTACAGGAAATAGAGAAGAAAGTATGTTCTCTGAATATAATTTGAATAATCTTTTTTACTTTTTTTATGCTCATTATAATTTTTTTCTTACTTTCATGTTTCAAATGTTAATGTACTACAGATTCAATAATGGGTGATGATGATATGATTATTGATGATGGATCAGTAGTAGTACCTCTTAATAAGGAACTGGAAAAACAGATTTCAAATGCAATCGATCCACGCTTTCTTTTACAACTGGTATGCTTATGCTATTGCTTATTTGACATTTATACCCCTACAAGAATTTATGTGAATGTGATTTAACTCTTTTGATTTTGGATTCCTAATCAGACAAATATTTTGCTTGGAGGATCTTCATCTAAAGATAAAATTAAGGACACTGAAGCAGCAGCTGTTGGTGCAGCTTGTTCTTTTCTTCATGTGACTTTCACCATTTTTCCACTTGAACGTATCATGACAGTTTTAGCTTATAGAACTGAATTGGTATCTGTACTCTGGAGTTTCATGAAGCGATGCTATGAGAGCCAAAATTGGTCTTCCTTGTCTGCCATGTCAGCATATCTACCTGGCGATGCATTTGGTTGGCTTCTTCCTATGGCAGTTTTCTGCCCTGTGTACAGGTGTGCATCTTCTTTTTAAATCAGAACTCAAACTGGACATATATACAGTGGTGTTTCTTTTTGACTTGATACAAACAGATGGAGTTAATGGATCAAGTCATAGGAGAGTGTCTTTAACCATACTTTATACCCTTTTTTAAAAAAAAAATATTATAGAAATATCATGTAATTGTAAAAGAATAAAAAAAGATTTCAACTACCCAATTGATGTCTCATTCATATCAGAATGATAAAAGTGATTAAAATATCATGTAACAAGCATAAATTTCTATTATTTTCATTTTAAGACTGTTCATTCAGTCCAAAGCTTCCAACTACCCATTTAATGTCATTCAACACTCTACCCACTTAATGAGGGAAAAAGACGAAACTACCCCTAAGTTAGTCTAAGAATCGAAGCTGAAATTAAGTATATTCCACATTTGTATGTCAGGCACATGCTTACAATCGTTGACAATGAGGAATTCTATGAACAAGAAAAGCCGTTGTCTTTAAAGGACATTAGATTATTGATTGTTATCTTGAGACAGGTATTTGTTACCATTTCAGGTGACATTTTTTTCTACATTTTAGCTCCTATTCTACAAATTTAATTCATGGTTTTGTTTTTTCTTTCTCTAGTCTTTGTGGCAGATTCTTTGGTTAAACCCTGTGGCACCAATGAAGTTTACTAAAAACAATCTTTCCTTAAAGAAACACCGTGTAGAATTTGTTCAGTATAGGGTTAGTGTTGTGGCTTCTGAACTTCTTTCCCAGGTATGCTTACTGTAGTTTGACTTTCATTGACCATCTTGAATGACACTAATTTGTGTAACTATAAATCTACACTTACAGTTGCAAGATTGGAATAACAGAAGGCAGTTTGCACACCCAAGTAACTTCCATGCTGATGGTGTCAATGATCACTTCATTTCTCAGGTAATAATTATTTACTTAATTCACATATTATTATTATTTTTTTTATAAGTTTGAGTTTGTGATGATGAAAAAGAATCCCTCTATTTACTCAATTCACAGGCGATGATTGAAAACACAAGGGCATATGACATACTGAAACAAGCTCCTTTCTTGGTGCCATTTACAAGCAGAGTTAAATTATTCACAGTGAGTTTATAGCTTATAAATTATAATCTATTCTTAGTCATACTATTTTTTATTTTACTAATTACATTTTTATCAAACTACATAGTCACAACTTGCTGCAATTAAGGAAAGGCCAGGGTCTCATTCTCTTTTTAACAGAAGCACTTTTAAAATAAGACGTGATCATATATTAGAAGATGCTTTTAATCAGTTGAGCACATTACCAGAAGAGGATCTTCGTGGAGTGGTATGAAAACTATAAATTATAATTATGTCATAATTTTGGCTATGTTTTATTATGTTATTGGGATTTAGTTATTTAATAATTTTATTGTTAGATTCGGGTTACTTTTGTGAATGAATTTGGAGTGGAGGAGGCTGGTATTGATGGTGGTGGAATTTTTAAAGACTTTATGGAGAATATCACTCGAGCAGCTTTTGATATGCAGTATGGATTATTTAAGGTTGTAAAACCTGTATTCCTGCCTTTTTTGTAACTTTTAGTTTTTCCCAATTTACCCTTTTTAGGATTCTAAAATTTTTGTTTTTGATATAACTAGGAGACGATTGACCACCTACTCTATCCTAATCCTGGATCAGGAATGATACATGAACAACATCTTCAGTTTTTCCATTTTCTTGGAATTATACTCGGAAAGGTATGCTAAATGCTATTTAGTATTCTTAGGATCATTAGTAATGTCATGCAATTAGTTATACAAATCTTTTCATCAATGTGCTCCATATGTTGAGTGGTTGTTTTCTTTCAGTAATTACCGAGTCTTTTTAGTTTCATAAAGTTATCTGCTTTTAATTTTGAGATTGTTGGACTTTTGAATTTATTATGTTATGCTCTATTAGCATATCTTTCTTTCATCTTTTAAATCCAAAATATACAGTTCACATGCATAATCTTTGTATATTTGGGAGTACCTTGTATTAACCTTATCTATTCTATGGCACATTTTTAAATCATTCAATGCCAAATGAAGTACTTTATTTGTATATTGAACAGTTTCTCTTTATTATGGAACTTTATGATGAATTTGTTATTCATTCACCCCTTCTTGATGATGTAGGCAATGTTTGAAGGGATTCTTGTTGATATACCATTTGCAACTTTCTTCTTGAGCAAACTAAAGCAAAAGTAAGTTCTTCAAGGCACCCTTTACTTATATAACCATGTTGTCTTTATCTTTTCATGGTAACTACATTTTCAGTCCTCTTGCTATCTAAAGTTCCATGTATGCATGCATGCAAATATGGTTAATCTTACACTCAAATGGAGTAATCTTTTAGCATTCCATATCAACTTTCTGTTCAATACAAACAAAAAGTAAGTAGGCAGAATAGAAATAAAAAAAAGACACAAGAAAGTAGTCAAATTATAGGCTTGACTGTGATGACTATCATCTTTAAATATGATAATTAAAATAATGGGATGCCCTTTGCATAAAATTTTGATGTTTCCCTGTTAATATAATTGAAGTTTTGAGCTTCTTTTATTTGAATTGTGAATATGAAAATATATCGTGTAGTTCTTTTTATCAGACTCTTACATATTCTAATTAGCATCTCCTTTCAGGCACAACTATTTGAATGATTTGCCATCTCTGGATCCCGAATTATATAGGCACCTTATATTTTTAAAGGTTTGTGGCTTTTTTTATTTTGCTAAATGCAAGAAATAGCATATTATTTTCATTTCATTATATTACAGGTGCTACACTTTAATTTTTTTTTCTTATAAAGACATTGTACTTTGAAAAACCTACTCAGTTATGAAAGTGAAAACTGCTTTATATTTTTTAAAGTACAAAGAAATGAAATTAGGATGCTGTAATAAAAAAAAAACAAAAATTAGATTTCATTGCTGTTTCTTGCATCTGACTCTTTATTTAGCTTTACATAAGAAAATATGATCTTTTTGTGTTAAAGATTATCTTGAAAATTTTATATAATTTTAATTTTTTTCAAATGTCATCTGCAGCGATACGAGGGTGATTTGTCAGAGTTGGAGTTGTACTTTGTTATTGTTAATAATGAATTTGGTGAGCAAACATCAGAAGAGCTGATTCCAGGTGGAAAGAATATACGAGTTGTGAATGATAATGTCATCACATTTATTCATCTTGTTGCCAATCATCGCCTCAATACTCAGGTTTTATGTCTTTCCTCAACTTTCGATGATGACAATGAGGGTATTTTCGTCATTCCTTCTTGTACGTAATGGAGTTAGTTGTAATAAATATTATGCATCATCTGTTTTCAGATTCGTCTACAAAGCTCTCATTTCTTAAGGGGATTTCAACAGCTTATACAGAAAGATTGGATTGACATGTTTAATGAACATGAACTTCAGGTTTTCAGATCCTTCCTTTAGTGTAGCATCAATCAAGCATTCTGTTTAAATCTGTTATTCCCTCTTTTAGTGTAATAACATAATCATGCTTTTAAGTATATATGTTTTATGGAATTAGTAATAATGATAATAATAACAGCATGAAGAACTTGCTGTTAACAACAACAGGTGGCTGTTGTTTTTAGGGTCTGTTTATTAATTTATTTATTCTTCATTCTCACCTATCTTTTTGCAGCTTCTCATATCAGGATCTGTTGATGGATTCGATGTAGATGACTTAAGGTCTAACACAAATTATGCTGGTGGCTATCATCGTGTAAGTTCAAAATTTTATTTTTATTATTTATTTTTTAAACAAGGATGAAATTTTATTTTTTTGTTCATCTAATATGTCCAACTCCAACACACTAGTCTTGTTCTCTTGCTACTGAGCTACATACATGGTAATGGTGTTCTTCTTTACAGGAGCATTATGTCATTGACATGTTTTGGGAGATTCTCAAGAACTTCTCATTGGAAAATCAACACAAGTTTTTGAAGTAAGTTTGGATTCTTTGACATATTAATCTTTTTATCCAATGTGTTTGTTGGATCATTGTACCTTTAAATGCTTCTTAACTTGTTAAATAAAGCCTTTTTAAATGCTTTCTATATTCTGCCTTAATTTTATACTATATATTGCTTACAAGTTAAAAACTTTAGCTTGCTTTTAATTTTATTATTTCTTCCAGGTTTGTGACTGGATGTTCAAGAGGACCTTTGCTAGGATTCAAGTATTTGGAACCTTTATTCTGTATACAGCGGTATGATGCTTTTACTCCTTGGAATTGGAATTTGAGATTCCATTCCAAATCCAATGATTCCATGGCTTATAAAGACTAAAACACCCTCATTATATATTTGTAATTTTGTATCCTTTTTTTTATGTTTATAATTATTGCTTTATAGGGCTGCTGGTAGTGCCTCTGAAGAAGCTCTTGATCGGTTACCAACATCAGCTACTTGTATGAATCTTTTAAAGCTTCCTCCATATAGAAGGTTTGTCATTCTTTTCTAATTTCTTTATCCCCTGTTTGTTACACATTAGTATGCAAAAAAGACATAAATACCCTTCTCATCCATCATCATCGAAAATACCCCTCGAAACTTTAGCTTTCGAGGACTATTTTCAATGAGAAGGGCATTTTCGTCTTTTGTACACATCCACCTTTTTACAATCGACACCTGTTCTCTCATGTCATGTCTTTCTGATCTATCATCTAACTTGAAGGATGAGAAGGGCATTTTCGTCTTTTGTACACATCCACCTTTTTACAATCGACACCTGTTCTCATGTCATGTCCTTCTGATCTATCATCTAACTTGAAGGTTGAGAAGGGCATTTACGTCTTTTGTACACATCAACCTTTTTTGGGTGGAACAAATTTGTAATTTTTGTACAATCGACACCTGTTCTCTCATGTCATGTGACATGTCATGTCCTTCTGACATGTCATGTCCTTGTGACAATACTTTTTTTGCCACATCAGCTAACTCCGGTGTTTCCGCGCCATAAGTAGACCACCAGTCAATTGCTTCCATAGTAACCGCATCCATTTGAGCCGCCGGCAGAGAATAAAGACCCTTCTTCATGTTAAACGTGGCAAATTGTTCTCGCAACAATCGTTCTTCGTCTCTGTTTTCAGAAATGCGATTAAATGCTTCCATTACACCTTGTATAACTTCTTTATCAAGGTTTGGCGCTTTTCTACGAGTTCCACCTGGTGCTAATGTTTCAAGATAGCGGCTATCGTAAAACCGTGGAGTTAAAGCGAATCCTAAACAGTGTAACGGGATGCTCATTTTCTCCCACCTGTTCAATACAATTTGTTGCACTTGAGGGAAATACGATGCATACATATTTTCCTTCATCACATCTTGTATTTCCCCCAACATATTATCCATCTTTTCATAAATTTCGCCCATTTTCGGGCCTTCACCATCGCAAAATTTGATCAACCGATAAATTGGCTTCGTGATGCGTAAAATATTTTCAACTTCGACCCAAAAGTCATCATCTCTTATATGATTAGCAATAAGCTGTCCAGTTGTTCTAGTGTGTTCATCGCCGTGTTTCACCCAATCTCTCCACGAATTACGAGCAATTGTTGTAGATAGTGCCTCTCTACAAATGAATAACCTCTTCAACAAAACATAGTGAGAAGCAAATCGGGTTTTTGCAACCTTTAAAAGCTCCAACTTTGAAGTCTCCCTAAAAATGGACAAAGCTTGTCCATGATTCAGAAAATATTTGACAATCGCTTTCCCCTTTTTATATGTGTCCTGTAACCAAATAAACTCGCTTGCAAAATCTTTAAAAACCAGGTTTAAGGTATGAACACAACATGGCGACCAGAAAATATGTTTGTACATCTTTTCCACTTCCTTTCCAGCAGCTTTACAATTGGCGGCATTGTCCGTCACAACACTGAGAACATTACTTGGGCCGACAGAATCAATCGCTTGGCTTAGAAATTGAGCAATTGCTTTACCTGTTTTCTCCACTCCAGAAAAGTCAGTGGCATACATAAACATGGAACCTCGACTGTTTACAGCAAGCACATTGAGCAATGGTTTATGTTTTATGTTTGACCACCCATCAGACACAATAGAAATAGCGTGTGAATACCATGTTTCTTTAAACGGTATCAAGTCTTTCTCAACATCTCTTAACACATTCGTCTAGTAAAACAGTTCTTGCTTTCTCACTTGATGGCGCTTTATAACCTTCGGGTGCCTTTCTTAATGCGTTTACCATGTCACGAAATTGAGGATTCCGCAAAACATTAAATGGAATCCCATTAACACATAAGGCCCTCACAATTTTCAAATCAACTGCACTTCTCTCCATTATTGCAAAAGATTGCTCTATCGGTTTCTTAGAGCTCAAAGTTGGTTTTTTTTGTTAAAACAGAACTTCTTAGGGATTTAGAAACTCCGAACTTTTCAGCCTCTTTCACTTTTTTTTGCAACCTTTCATAAGTTTCTCGGTCTTTTAGTACAACGGGACACCTTTTAATTTCAGCTCTTTTTCCGAGTTGAGCACCAAAAAAATGAGTATAAATACGGGTATACGAGCTAGTAAATGTTCCATGACAATGTTTACAAACCCATTTTTTTGAACCACCGGGATTTTTACTACTACCAGGACTAATAAAAGTAACTTCATCATATAAAGGCTTAGCATCTACACTTTGTGTTTTTGGCTGTGTACCTTGACTCCCACTACTTGTATGTGCTTCTGGTTGTTGATTCTCGTTGTCTTCTTCATTGCCAAGATCAACATAATGATCTTCTTCCTCCAGGTATTGTTGTGACTGTGATTGCTGTCCTCCATCATCTTCCTCACAGCTATTAGTTCCTCTTTTCTTTCCAAAAACCATGCTACAGTAAGTCTATTCTCTACTGTTACTATAATCGGTAATCGGTATTCAAGAATCAAGATCAATAACCAAATTACCAAACTATAAAATCTGAAATTAGATGTTCTGGAATACAATTGAATGAAAAATACGATGGAATGGAAGTCTAATATAGGCCTAATTACAGAATATGAATTCAATTTTGAAGAGTCGCTAGTTAATTGTTCAGTTACAAAAAAACGTTCGTGAGTCGATCGACTCTTGAAATTCCGACCCATGTTTCCAATTGATTGCAAACGCGTATTGTAATCAGGCAAATCGCGATTTCTATAGCTTCTGGTACGTTCGAATTGAAGATCTGGAACGTCAATTTCTGGTTTTGAGTCGCGACCCGGAGCGTACCTGGTACACGTTCGTACCGCGTTTTGGTACGAACGAATTGGATCGCAAATCGTGCTTCACCAAGCGATTTCTGTGACTATGGTCATGTCATGTCCTTCTGACCTATCATCTGAACTTGAAGGATGAGAAGGGCATTTACGTCTTTTGTACACATCCACCTTTTTAGGTGGAACAAAAATTTGTAATTTTTGTATAATCGACACCTGTTCTCTATGTCATGTGCCTCTTATCTATCATCTAACTTGAAATCACATCACATTGTATTTATTTATTTATTGATATATTTATTTAAAGTTGAACATATTTGATGATGCAGTAAAGAGCACATGGAGCAGAAGCTGTTGTATGCTATAAATGCGGAAGCGGGATTTGATTTAAGCTAAACATTTCAAAAAAAAAAAAAAAAAGAAAAAAAATGCTGTGTGGTAAATTAAATTACATTGCCTAAATCGACCCATAGAAGGGGTGAGAGCATGGTGATTTTGTACATAATGTGGTTGCAAGGTTGCAGCAGCTACAATGTATACCATTTGTTTGCCAAATATTGCAACAATGGACATAAAATAGTAGAGCCTAGTTTGTATTGCTTGCAAAAAGAAAAAAAAAAAGAGGCTTTGGTTTGTAGATAAGATTGTATTTCAATTTCTAAATCCATGGTCCCAATCTATGGCTACTTTGTTGGCAATGGTGTACTTACCACTTATCTTTTTCTCTCATTATCTACAAACTTTATAAGGCTATTTTATATGATAAGTATGAGGGTATTTTCGTCTTTTGCACAAACGAAAAACCGATTAGAATTTTTGTTCTATTGATATCAGTCCTAATCAACCATGCCAAATTAAGTACAAGATTAAGTTTCTTTGTTATGATAAAAAGATGCCACAACCTAGTCACAAATATATTATAAGGTTTTTGCACATATATTGAAAGTGTTGAAGGATTTTAATAGATGCAAATTTAATGTAGTGATTTTTTTGGTAACTGATTTTAAATAATGTGTACATTGCCCTAAAAATAAACCAACCAAATAAAAAAAAAACAAATATTAAGTTGCATCATGTGGTCATAGGGACGTCAAATCGAACTTTATTATATGTTTTAGTTATTTTCATCAACACAAAAACAAGTGATTAAAACATGACAAACACGACATAAAAAAGATACCGTAATATAATTTTTAGTTTATTTAATGCATACTTAATAATATATAACAAGATAAACACGAAAAACATGAAATCTACATGTTAAATCGTGTCAATTTCGTGTAGAATTTTGAACACGAACACAACACGGCATGATGTCATGTTTTTTACACTTGACAAGAATTCAAATTTCAATTTTGTCCAAATTTTGTTTCTTGTCGTGTCATCGATTGACACCCTTACATGTGGACAAACCATGATAAATCCGTCGCATGCATATCACCTTTGAGATAACACTATTAATATTTTGGACACGTTGGTTTTGAACGTTGTATATTTTTGATGAAATTCTACATCTCAAACAGATAGACACCCATTGGGGGGCCTACAAAAGATACATAACATAAAAAAGAAACCATTTAAGTAACATTCAATTACTTCGGTTATGTCTATGTGGCATAATGTATCGGTTTCAATTTTGCATGAAGCCTTTAAAATAGTTGAGTCGAATCTATTAGATAAGACACGATATTATGTAAAAAGAAAAGAGAAACAATTCAGTTAAATGTTTTGGGTGAATAACTCCTTAACAACTTGTTTACATGTATAGAGAATAATAATTTTGATTTATTTACAAGTCTTAAGTTTTACGCACATTAATAAACTTCAATTTGGTTTCAAACTAGTTGCAAAAGTTGTTTATTTACTTTATAATCTCTTAAAGTGTTATGTCAATCATGTGTACCGACCAAATCTAGAACTTCGCTTGTGAAAGGGAAGTAGGTTAAGTTTGACCTAGATGACATTTAGTTTGGACTTTGATACGTCAAGAGTTGTTTCATTAAATTGAGGCAATCTTTTTGTTGTTGCCCAAAAGGAAAATACTAAGGGGTTTGACCAGCAGTCTGCAACTTGGAGTTAGTAATGGAGTTGTCATGGAAATATTTTTGAATTTCTACGACTAATTATAAAGTTGTTGGACCTCCACTTCAATTATCTCAACTTGGAAACAAAATAAATAAAAACAATTTGGTATTGTAACAAATTCAAATTGAATTCCTTGTTTTTTTTTTGTTTTTTTAATCCTTTTTTATGTTAAGATAATCTACTTTTGAATTTCATTTACAGGGAGTAATTTTATAATATTGAATAAATTATTTTGTAAAAAATGGTTAGTTGTTGGAGTCTGTGTATAGTTTTTAATTCCAATGTGGATTGTGTTTTTTGGATATATAATAGAAATTCAAAAAAGAGAAAATGAATTAAGAAGTTAAAAATAGAAGAAATGAGTTGATGATACTTAACGGTGGTTATAAACAAATTAAAGAGGGAATTCGGTAATGGTGAACCCTCGTGCCCAAGCTATCAGTTAGCCGATTTTCTCTTCAGAAAAAATAAATTCTTACTGATATTCCACTTCTTAAAAATATCATTACTATACACTATTCTCTCTATTTCTTTCTTTCACTCTCTCTAATATCACTAATAATGACCATGGGCACACCCAACTTTCCTTTGATCATTTTTTTTGGTAAACCTTCCAAGGCATGTGCTGACTGGACTGATCATTTCTTACAAACACTCTTCAAATTCAAGTTTGAGATTGGGGAATAAACCCAAAATCTTTTTTATGATAATTTGATGGTTAGGGTTTTATTTTCTAATCATCCTAGTATGGTTGATGTGGTTCTAAGCTCAATTCATCATTCCCATGGTGGATTTGGAGCTTAGGTAAAATCTAGCCATAAACCGTAGATGAGAATTTTGGATTATGAAGTTGTTAAGTTATTATTGAACATATTCTAGGATCATATAACGAAATTGTTGCATTAAATCGACTATGGATGCACATTTCATAGAATGTGAGAATCTAGGTCTCATTTGATGGAATTGGGGATTCCATATGTTGATTTTAGTTTTTGCAAAGGGTTCAAGCAACTCTTATGAGTATATGATGTTCAAGTACCTTGAATTGATACTTTTAGAATGGTTGGGGTCCAAAGCAAAAAAGAATAGATGAATCTAAGGCGATTCTAATGATTGTTAAGCCATAAGGGCAAAATGGGAAACTATGGAATTGAATTACTAATTCCATGGTTGAAGTAAAGGCTTATAACCATCTAGAAAGAATTTTGAAGAAGTATTTTTCACTTGGTAACATTCAAATGGATATTGAACAGAATTGGGTGGATTACTTTGGTCTTTGTTGAGCTTTTATGCAAAATAAGCTCATAACCATTCTAATTGGAGTTTAGTGAACAGTTAACAACCCCTCACGACGTGACCATCTATGGCTCATGTCGTGAGCCACTACAGGACACAACAGTCGGGTCTCATAATCCTCACGACGTGACAGGCATAGCCTCACGTCGTGAGATCAGTCTGAATGCCATTTTGATCCATAAACTTCTTAATCCATTAAGCCACTAATTCATCTTTTCCAGGAGGCTTCCTAACACCCCAAGGATCATAAAAATAGATGCTTTAAGGTATTGTATGTCCAATACAAGACTTGAGCTCAAAACTAGGGTATTCATGAAGAAAAAGGAGATCAAATCTCAAGCATGAACTCAAACATCATCCAAACTTCAGATCCATAAAATATAATCACCAAGGGACCCTAAGGACCCATAAAGTTGCTAACTTTATCGAGTCCTAACACTCTAACTCTTGTGTCCATGGATAAACATGCATAAAAACTTAGATCTAGAAACAAGGAAACTAAAATCTTGAATCTTGGTTACTCACAATGGTCCAGAGGTGTTGCTAGAGGTTGCGAATGGAACTTCCAAGCTGAATCTATGCTTCAATGGTGATCTCTTCTTCTTTAAACCACCAAAACTCCAAAAAAATCTTAAGAATCACAAGGAGAGGCTAGGGTTATGGTTTTTCTGTGCTTAGGGAGGAATGATGCTGTTTTGGAACCCTAAGATGAAGTTTATGGGGTTTAAATACGAAGGAAGCCCTAAAAGATCATGGGCTTGGGCTGCAGCGTATCTCACACAGTGAGCTCTTATTACTCACGTCGTGAGCTCAACATAATTCAACATCTTAATTTAATCACTCTTCACGTCGTGACCCCTCTAAGGTCACGTCGTGAGCCTTGGTTTTACCCAAAAACCATGCCTTTGACTCCTTGAAGCCTAAATTGATCCGGTCTGAAAACCGGGTGTTACAATTCCCCCCACTTAAATTAGATTTCGTCCTCGAAATCAGTTGTTACTTCCCCTCTTTGGAGTAACGCCTTGATCAGTCGACCACCTCTCGACACCTCTGCAGACTAAACGAGAGTCAAGAGACCTGAAGAAAACGTGTTACCTCATAACTTCCTTAATCCGCAAGAGGAAAAATCCACTCCTTAGTCCTTGACCTGCTGGCCCTGAAATAATATCCAACTATCAGGCAGACATAGCCACCCCAATTGACTCCTACACTAACCAAAACGCCCAACTTGATCCGCCCAAGGTCTCCTGGCCTTGCGTCGCTCATCGAACATCCGAAATAGGAACTACATCCTACACCATAGCTTCCAACCTCACACACTGATACATCAGTGAGAAATCCTTTCAAAACCCAATAGGCTAGGCTAAACCATCCTTCATATCCGCTATGCTAATCGAATTCCGCAGATTTGATCGGTCCTAAATATCCTCATCCATATGCCGCCCCTCTGAACAATGAATCCCGCAACTCTCGGCCGACCGCCGTAAAGCTAACCATGCATATAAATGCACCAACACAAGGAAACCCAATGATCACATACAAAACTAGACCGAGATCCTACTCGACTCTAACAAACCTACTCTGATATCTATTAACATCACTCAGGCTTACCCTTGATCCACTAACCAACAACAACACTCAGGCTTACCCCTGATCCACCAACCATAAAAAGCACTCAGACTTACCCCCGATCCTCCAACCAACAACAATAATCGGGCCTCAACAAGACTTAACTAACCCTACCAGGTCTTCAGGCCGTGAATTAGACCTCCAAGCCTTGATCAAACAAGAACAGACAAGGAAGCCCCCATCACATCCCTCAACCTGGGCTTTTAACACCCTAGAATCTAAAGCATAACACGCCCTACAAATACTATCACAACTAAAACTAATACGACTCGAAGGGAAATCCAACAACCGACAAAGATCTTGACGCGAAATCAGAAGATTCAGCAGTTGCGTGGAAGTCTTGAACTTGGAGAAATCCGAGTGGAAACTGAACCTTGGCATAGGGTCTTCCTGCTACGAGGTTTCACTCTCCCCCACTTGAAATATGCTAGAATCTGACCACTTCACAATTCGTTTGATACCTAGACCAACTTGCACTCTACTACCTGATCCCAACAACTGATATCCAAATACACATGAAAATCTGAACCCACACAACATTCACAAATTCCAACATGCATGTATTCCGAGGATAATGATGATTAATCCATTCATAAAAAGAAATCAATTTAAAAAGAGCTAAATAAGATAATTCCATACAACCGATCATCCAAGATTAAAACTGAACTTTGAAA